GTCTGGGCCCCCTGGGGCCCGCCTCCAATCCCACCCACAGGGTCCGCCTCTAAATCCTGCCCACACAGACACAGAAACACACACTAAAACAAAAGGACACAGATACACACACACACACACACACAAAGATACACATACTGACACACATACTGAAACAGACATACACGCATATAGGCATACGTACTGACACACACATACTGAGACATACACACATATACAGACACACAGGCATACATAGTGACAGATAGACACATACTAACATACATCCAGACACACATGCATGAGGTCATACACATACATACACCGACATACATACACACAGACATTCATTCATACTGGCATACATACATAAATACATACATACATACAGACATACTGACAAACATACATTCATACAGTCACTGACATCCATACACACATACATACATTCATAATGGCATACATTCATTCTGGCATACACGCATATATACAGACATACTGACATACATACATATATACTGACATCCATACACACAGACGTACGTTCATAATGACATGCAGACATACATTCATACTGACATACATTCATAATGACATACATACATAATGACAGGGGTCCTCAAACTTTTTAAACAAGGGGCCAGTTCACGGTCCCTCAGACACTGTTGGGGGCCGGACAATAAACAATATGAACAAATTCCAAGGCACACTACACACACACGCATAAGGACATAAATACACACACACACACATACTGAAATACATACAGATACATACACACAGACAGACATGCATACATACACATACTGACTTACACACACAGACACACATACTGACATACATACATACACACATACATACTGACACACATACACACACACACAGACACACATACATACATATATACTGACATACATACACACAGACACACACACAAAGACACACATACATACATACACACATGCATACAGACATTCTGACATACATACAGACATACTGACATACATACAGACATTCTGACATACATACAGACATTCTGACATACATATAGACATACAGACATACTGACATACATACAGAAATACTGACATACATACAGACATTCTGACATACATACAGACATACTGACAGACATACTGACATACATACAGACATTCTGATATACATACAGACATACTGACATACATACAGACATAGATACATACTAACATACACAAATACAGCTAATTTTTCTTACCTTCTTTTTGCATATGGCAGGCTGTGGCTGATGGGAGTCGGCGTGGCTCCCTCGGCCTGGCTTTCTTCCCTCCCGCGCGGCACGGAGGGAGCTGGGAGCAAGTGACGGCCACTTCCTCCCAGCAGTACTTGTGGCTGGGATTTTTTTTATTGCGCGGCCGCAGCGCTGGCCGGGCCCCTGAAGATACAGGGCCCATCGGGTTGCCCTAAGTGCGTGGACCACCCGATAGGCCCCATCAGCATGCGGGCCCCGGTGCAACTGCATCGGCGACAGTTCCGCCACTATACGTGGGGCCATTATGGTTGTCACCCCCTGATGGCGGCCCTGTTCTTCCCCAATCCACGGCTCGCGGCCGCATGGCGGTCAGCCTGCGAGCCTGAGATGGGGCTCCTGCTCCTCCCCCGTGGGGCTGAAACACAGCGCAGGAGATCATGACCACTGTCGGGAGAAGCGGCAACCACGGCAAGTCAGGAGGCGAAATGACTGCCTATTTATATAACCAGCTCCTTGTCCAGTTCCCTTACTACTCCCCGTTTTACGCCAACACTCACCACACCCACACATGCCTCTTATCCAGCTAGCTTTCAGCCTGCCTCAGGATCTTTAACCTTTTTTTAACATTCTAAAAAGAGTTTGTTGTATGTCATGTATTTTTTATTATGTTTATAAATATACAGTGGGACCTCGGTTTATGAATTTAATGCGTTCTCCGGGACGTTTCTTATTGCGAAAAATTTGTAAACTGAAATGCGGTTTCCCATAGGAATGCATTGAAAACCAATTAATCCGTTCTGGAGGTCAGAAAAAAAGTCAAAATGAGCTGGCATGGAAACCAACCCACAATGCAGAACACACAATAAAAGGCATGCAAACGACAAAGCTCAGTTTCCTACCTTTTCACAGCTTGAGAAATGCACCAAAAAGTCCCAAAACAACTGCAGACAATTTACAGAATGGTTTCAAAACTCAATGCAAAATCCGCTCCAACACCTCCACACTTGACGCCATGTGCTTCCCACAGGCTCCAGCATGCAGGGGGCGGTGCTATAAACCTCCCAGGTGCAATGCATACTGGGGAAACTTGCTTTGTATAGCAAAAAAAATTGTAAACCGAGGTATTATTTTCAATGGATTTTCATTTGTAAACCAAAAATTGTGTTAACAGAGGCATTTGTAAACCCGAGGTCCCACTGTATATGCATATTATCCTAGGACAGGTGGTGTCTGTAATTGAGGATTTGTAATATGAAACTGTCTTGCTTTAATGAGCTATATTATTCAAACAAAAATACTGATGTTTGTAGCACACAAACGCAGTCATTTTTCAATATAATTTACCCAAGCAATGAATGAGTGTAAAGTTGCTACTGAAAGAGAGGGTATCAGTGAAAAAAGAGACTATTGAGTGGTAGCTCACTCAATGTTTTATTTTTATTTTTGCAGTGCATAAGAATATTGCAGACAAGCTTGAGGTACCCCAACGGCAATCCTCAGGCATATTAACACGCTTTACATTTGGGGTAATCGAGGATATATGCACAATTTTATATTTTAAACACGCTAATGATATGAAACCTGCTAGGTATGTAAGAAATTTAGTAATCTAGGTTTTACATAGGTGTTAGGTACCATGCTTGGCTAGTGGGTTGTATCAAAGGAACAAGTTATAAAGCTTATAATATAAGCAAATGACAGGATTAATGCCTTAGGAGGCCCAAAACCAGTCAGAGGGAAATCTTGTTAGCTGAGGAGCTGGTAATTCACTTTAAGAATGGCATAAGTAGTCGCTAGAGTAGTTGGACGTGGCCCAGATATCCTCAGAGGGTAAGGTGAATGGCCATTAAGCCCTTCAGGCCCAGATTAACCTATGCCAGCCAGAGGACGAACAGAGTCCCTTAACCAGGATGAGTACTGCAGGCTGTCCCAGCTTAAGGAGGATTGGCAATTCAGGCCTCGAGGAACAATCAGAGTTCCCCCTGGGTACCTCAGAGAGAGTAGGCGTTCCAGCGTGAGCCCGCCGCCGTTGAAGCTGTCCGGCTGCTTATTGTGTGAGCGAGTCCTTGTGAAGGGTCCCCATCTTATCCCCACATGGTCGAGTAATTTTTGCGTTCGGGAGGGGAAACGTCGCTTCCTCCACCGCCATTTGCCAGCACTCTTCGGTCTGGGGATTGCTTGCTTGCCCATGTGGGGAGCATGGAGATAGCACCTCAGGTAAGCACTCATCTGCTGTGTGTGTCACAGCCTAATTCAGTCTGTGTGCCAATTTGTTCCGGAAGGCTTCAAAGGTGCTTTCCAGTCTTGCCAGGATATCAGGTTCTTCCTCACAGTGGCTTGATGTGCACGCTGCATCCGCCCTTATTCTCAGCTCTGTTACTGCGGGTTGTCTGTGTGGGCCAGTCTCTTGCCTCCTGTATAGCTGGGCTGCCTCCCAGGGATGGACCGGGATCACCCCCACTGGTATACAGTGGAGTTCATGGTCAACTCAATGGCTGCAAGGTTCCCAAGTCATGTGTATATAATGGGATGAGCATATAGCTCTCAACAAATCTTGCTTTTGTTGGTCCTTCGAATGGCCCAGCAATAAAAGTGGCTTTGTACATTGTACATACTTACTCACCTTACTTACCTTGTTCCATGAGCTGTATCCAGATCTGAAATGTGTTGCTATGAGGCATGGTGGCCAATTTCTACTGCAAGGTAAAGTCATTCATTTAAAGAATATTATACGCCAGAATCTCTTTTTTAAAACTTTATTTAGTCATATGGCAGCATATGCAAACATGCAAAAAGTATAGTACAATAATACGATTTCTGAGCCATCTATTTTAGATTTATACAAAATAAAATATCAAGAAGGAAAATAAGAGGTGAGAAGGGGAAAGGGTGCTCAAGACTGGAAACATTTTCCTCCATTAGGGATTGGATATGAGATATCAAACAGCTCTGTGATATTGGCTTCCATTGCTGGACATTTCTGATGCTTGTATAAGACAGTAAAGGGGGAGGGGTGGCCGGACTGCCATGCCAACAGGTCGCATGCCTGAGCAGCTCATGGGGGCTTCAGCTTGAAGAGCTGGAAATCAGCGGAGCTTGACCCTATCTGGAGCCAAAAAGCTACTTGGAAGACAGCTGGTGCTGGTGACGGGTCCAAATCCGGGAATTCTAAAGCCTGAATCTATCCTTTTTTTTTTTTTTTTTTATAAAAAAACACAGATTGTGAATAAATGTGTTATTTGGATTTTAAGTAATTATGGACAATGTGTGCAACTTTGGAAAGCTACAAGCCGATTTTGATTCATGGCTTTGGAACTCCTAAATAAAAGAGGATCTCCAGTGGGAGGAGATATTGCTCGTTTGAGAAAGCCCCAGGAGGTGGGGCGAAATGCATCACGTGACCTGGTGATCAGGATACAAGGAAGTGAACTGAATACACACACCACCCAGCAGGACCGGCCGCAGAAGGAGAGAGATTACACTGAACTGTTATCAAACTCCCCATGGTGTGGTGAGCTGCAGCTGGACTGTGCTTTTTACTATATGACTATCAGTTGTTTTTATTTTTAATAAATGTTTTTTGCCTGACACTGGAGTCGCAGGAGCATTTATCAGATCGCACGTACCCAAAGGGCTGATCTTCCTTGGGCGAGATAACTTAGAGTGGGGCTCATACCACTCTACATTTGTGAGTTGCATTCTTAAAGAGACAGTTTATCTTAGTTTAAATTTGAATAATTGTATTGCACTAGGAGTGCTTTCTCTGTTCCTTCCCCCCTACTTGTGTCTCCTTAACTACAGATATCAACTGTACAGTGTAACAGGCTATAAGTATACACACATATACACACCTGGGCTTGAAGACACCCTATAAGGAATCACACTTGCTTGCACTGTATCATCTGTTTGTAAATACTTCTCAACACTTGAGGGGTTCTATACATATGTATGCACACTAGCACTTTTCTGTTTTGTGAAAAATATAATATGGAATAGAAATATAAATCAGAGAGAGTGAGATAAATTGAGGTTTTTCTTGACGTTCTTTAGTTGTTTCAGAAAATCCACAAACAAGCCACTTAATCAGCACTATTATGAATGTTAGTCATAGACAGCCAACAAATTCAATGCTTTTAAATGCCTTTAAAAAATCAAGCAAAAATAATAATTTTAGTTGAAAAGTATCAAATGTTGAGGAAGACCCTCAATTTCTATTGTTATTAGCTTTCTGTTTCTGTACACATTATCATGCAATTCCATATCATAAATGTGTATGTTTATTTAAAGGGACACACTAAGGACCTGAAGAACTACAGCTTAATGTAGTGGTTCTGGTGCAAACAGCCTGTGCTTGCAGGCTAACAATTCTAAACACTTCTATTTCTGAGAAAAGGCAGAGTTCATATTTGTCAAAGAGGTCCCTTCTAGTGGCTGTCACTCATACAGAGGACCTCCCTGGTGTTGTCCTGCAAACTTTGCAGGACTCTTTGATCTCAGCCAGAGAAGGAGTGGCAGCCACATGAAGATAGGAGCACCAAGGTACTAAAGGTAGGTAAAAAGTCTTTATTTTACTGAATTAAATGGGAGCTCTAAATCTCAACAGAGAGAAAAAAAACCTCTAAATATTAGAAATGTTCGTATTCCTAACATTATAGTGCTTCTTTAAATATGTATTTTGAAAGGAGCTTGTTGAACGCCCTTTTAACCTCCTTATTTCTAAAGCAATAGATAACTGGATTAAACAAAGGTGTCAGAAAACTGTACAGCAAGGGTGACAATATCATAAATTCAAATGTACCTCTAGGATCAGGGCCAATATAATTTAAAAACCCTGTTGCATAGAAAATCGTAACAACGATGACATGAGAAGAACAAGTAGAGAAGGCTTTCTGTCTTCCTGCAGAAGATGGAATCTTCAAGATTGTGGCAATGATACGTGTATAAGAGGTTGTGACACACATAAATGGAGTTATCGCTAGGAAAACACTGACAATGTACAATAAAAAATAGCTTTTCTGTGTGTTTGTGCAAGAAATGTTCAGCAATGGAGGAACATCACAAAAGAAATTATTCAAATTTCTATCTTCACAAAAGTTGAGTTGAGATGTCATTGAGGTATGAAGAATTGAGTTCATGAATCCACTGGAGCAACATCCCAGGACAAGATAAGAGCAGAATTTCTTGTTCATAATAACTAAATATCGCAGAGGGTTACATATTGCCACATATCGATCATAGGCCATAACTGCTAGCAAAAGGCATTCTGACCCTCCAAAATAGACAAAGAAATACAGCTGAGCGAAACACATGCCGAATGAGATTTTTCTATTGTCTGTTGCAAAATTGAAGAACATGGCAGGAAGAGTAACTGTAGAGTAACCTATGTCTAATATAGATAGAAAACTGAGAAAGAAATACATTGGGGTCTGTAGATGGCAATCAATCCGAATAATGCTAATGATGGCAAAATTCCCCATTAAAATTGTTATATATGTCAAAGCTATTAAAACTGACAGCATCACATGTCCCTCCGAAAACCCTAAAAGGATAAAATCACTTGTGGTACTTTGATTTTTTACTGCCATCAAATTAGCAACAAGAAAATTGCATATGTAAATTTCAGAATTAATTAGTAACTTAGCATAAGGCATTTACTCTGATTTAGGCATTCTTTTATTCAGTACTGTGTGGGTCTGTCTTTGAGATATCAACAATATTTGACCAATGGTGGATATGACAAAGTTTCAATGTCTCAATATTTTTGTTGTGATGCAATACAAGTGGGGGCTTTCAGAAAATTTGAAGGCTGGACACATTAAATCCCTTTCCTTTTAAAAATGGCAATGTTTTAAGTGTAACTGGAAAAAAAAAATCAACAGGACTTTACTGTAGTCAGAAAACAAAAAGTACAAAATTATGGATCCGTTTCCTTTAACAAACCAATAAGGAGTTCTAATTAGGAATTTCAAATTACTGGATTTTAAAACCATAGTAAGATAGTTGGGATTTTAATATGCATAGTGAAGAAGACAGCTGTAGCTAACAAAAAAAAACAGATTCATATAATATTTAAAGAGGGTTATGCACTTTTCAAGATAAGTGTGAATATGTGTAATGTATGTGAAAAAATGTTTTATACCGCTTGTTATTTTCCTTGAAAATCGAAAGTCTCTGTGCTATTTCTCAACACATACAAAAAATTGTTCAGAGATCACTCAATAATATGAGGTGCATCTCAACATGAATTACATTTTCTCAAATGATTCTCTTCCGAGTACCATAACCATTACAGCCTGCTGTTTTTTTCCAAGTCTTTTATAGCTTAATATGTACAATGTGTTTCAAATTATATATTACACTAACCTTACATAATGTAATGGTGACAAAAGTGGGTTCTCCATTTTTCTGCTACTATAGCAAAGTTACACTTATCCCATTAAGCAAAAGCGCTGATTAAAAGGAAAAAAAATGGTAATGTTGATAAATTAGTCATGACTACAAATGAACATACCATAGAACACGTTTTAGTTCATATTTCCTATCTACATTCATATTCTCTGCTGAGAAAATGAGTTACCTTGTTTATATAGACATGTTCCAACCATTTTAAAGTCCTCAGAGACATTGATTTCATGCCGGGGGATTATAGTAGAATAGAATATAATGAATACAATAAAATGCTCAAGTCAGTAATTAGTTTAAAACAGACATTATAATGATAATTATTATCATTTTCATTTTATAGAGAGTGTTACCATATTTTTAGTGGAGATATATGGTAGCAAGTAATTGGCAGACAAAATAAAGTTAACAGACACAAGAAGTGAAGAAGGCCCTACACCCATAGCCCTGCTAAAATGTGCTTACAGTATTGGAGGAAGTGGTGTAAAGGAACGCAAGGGGAAGAATAGGATGTCAGGGGAAAGCAAATGTTGATGGGTATGGTCTGTCTCTAGTTAACCATGTAAAAGTGGAGTGTGGGCAAACCATATAGTGTAAGGTGAGAGAGTGAAGTGGACTGTGAAAGTACAGGTTATAGTGGAAGGACAGGTAGACTATTGTAATAAGAGAAGTTATCTATGGGATAAAGAGAAAGAGATAATTTGGCAAATTAAACTAATTGAGTTGGTTTGTATTTCTGAATAAAAGAGGATATGTAATGAGAGATGGATTGTCATAAAGACTTTGTATGTTAACATGAGTAATGTGAATTGGATCTGAAGGAAGCCAATTTAAGGACTGGAAAAGGTGGTGAGGGGTGTGAGATTAGTGGTGGGAAAGGAAGATAGTCCAGCATTCATGGCATACTGTAGTGGGGCAATGCAGGTACTGGGAAGGCCGATGAGAAGTGAGTTCCAATATTCATGGCTTTAAATGATGAGTCCATCGGGGGCTGAGCCAAACAATTGAACCATGCAGACACACTTCATGAGAGCTCCCGGCAATCAAAGAGTATTACACCCCATCTGGGACACAAAAACCCCCAATGCCTACCCCAGTGGAGTCCCCTGATAATAGGGAACAGGGATGGGACGAAAACAAAAAAATTAAAACCTGACAAACCACATTCGAGCCAGAATATCGGCGACCTCCTGCACCGGGCTAACACGCCTTCCCCGAGAACTTCTCGGATGTATCGGATGACTTCTACCTGGAGGGTGAGGAAGACGAAATGTCTGTAACACAACCCACTAAATCTGTCCCCAAAGGATCCGACTCCTCACCGGTCACCACCGAGGTCCTCACAACACTTCTAGCGACCCTTCAGAATACCATACTAGCGGACACAGCTAAGATCCGCAAAGACATAAGAGGCCTGTCGGGCAGGTTGGGGACCTTGGAGGGAACCTCCGGGGAACACACCAAGCAAATCTCCTCCCTACAACGGGAGATAGACCAACTTCATCGGCAGCACAAATCATATGACCAACACCTGGCCACAATGGAAGAAACAAGGCACAAAAACAACGTGAAAATAAGGGGAACCAAGGAGGACATACCAATCGATGAGTTGCCTCACCTCCTGCCCATGAGAGAAGGCAGAGCGGTAGGCCTAGAGGAATCCTTCCGAATTCCCAAAAGGGAGCCCCAGGGACCTGGTGGTCCACTTCCTGACTGGAAATGCACCTCACCTTCTATTCGGATCTATCAGGATACACTCTAGCGTGGAGAAGAACCATTGCACCTTTTACTGCCATATTTCGACAACACAAGATATCATACCGCTGGCTAATGGCACACAGCCTACAGATCCTTAAAGACACACAAGACGTCATGGAAGCTGCAGGACTGCTAGCCACACTGGGTTTACCGCCGGACTCTCTGGCCACAAATGGACAGAGCAGGGCAGAATGAACCCCCCATAGATGGAACCCTGCCACAGCAAAACCATTTGCACCCATTTGCATCTCCACCGCTCCCCGGCAGCCTCAACGGGCTCCCGAGCGCCGGCATCAGATGACGCCAGACTCACGCTGCAGGACTGGTCCCCAGCTACACTAGGCTGAGACCCAGACGACCACTTGAAGCTTGAAGGGTGTTTCATTGACCTGCTACAAAATAGAAGATGCTGTTGAAATATTTCAAGAAATAAAGATAAGAAGTTCAGATTTGGAAATACTGAATTTTAGAAACATGGACATCATCCAGTTTAAGATCGGTAGAAGGACAACAAGGGGAGGGCAGATGGGAGAGGAGGATAGGTAAATTTGAGTGATGTCAGCATATAAAAATTCTAAATGAGTATTGGAAAAGGTAGTATGAGAATCAAGACAATCAGTGTTGGAAAGGATAAGGTTTCAAAGGTTTGAAGAAGTGAATGGTCAACAGCATCCAAAGTTGTTGAAAGGTTGAGGAGAACTGAAATAGAGTAATCATTGAGAACATTTTATTATGAGATTGGCAATTGCATGTTTGAGTGAAGACAACAGAAGAGAGAGACTGAAATGTGTATTAGGAAGTAAACAAGGCTAAGAAAAAGAGATTGAATGAGATGAGAGAGAATGAAATCTCTAGACCTGCGGGGGTTAGACCGGCGGAGGTTATCCCGGTCCACCCCCAGCATGAGGGTACTAACCAGCGGAGAGGGACCGACAGGTGGGAGACACAAGTCCAGAGCAAAATGGCGGACAGCACAGACGCCAGCACAAAGAGACAAACCCCCAGGGACTGGGTAACTACCTTTCAGGCAAGGTTTGATGCCATCTGTGAGCGCTTCTGGGCCAATTTGGAGGGAAGGACCCAGCCTGTACAGCCACAAATGGTCTGCACCGCGGCACAGGCATCCACACTACACCAACCAGATAAAGCTAACTGGCACCAGATTAGGATGCAGAAGCCGAAGACCCACCCAGGCACAGCACCCCACGACGTTCAACAGACAACAGAGTACCGGCTAAAACACCGAGCTGAGCACCAAATGGCCACAAGCCAACCCGCAAGCGTCAGCCACAGAATATGGAGAGCAAACGGAGCACCAAGCAGGCAACACACGGCGCCCACTGCGCCTCCATCCCCGGAAAGGCCCAAGACCACACTGAGACTCACGAACGCAGAAACGGAGCATCGGCTCACCAGCAACCTCAGAGGTGGAGGGGCTCCCCACCTCCATAGCGCCATGCTGCAACTAAACGCACACCTAGACGTACTCACCCACTCCACCTGGCAGCAACCGGGTCCAGCAGCCTGCACGCTCCAGCTACACGACAGACTCGGCCTGCCAACACACAAGCCCCTCCAACTGGTGTTCGTGTGCAGGAACCTGACCAACCTCACCAGCAGAAAGAACTCAGGGAGACCCAAGACAAGCAACGGAGGCATGGGATTCCAGGCTGCGCTCCCGCTCCGGTCGGATTTGCTACCGGCCAAAGAATGGACTATCTGCTCCGGCACGTAAGCGGCATCGAGTGAAGAGTCAGAGCTAAGAGAACTCTTTTTACTGCAGCTTAGCACGGTTCTTAACCACTACATTCACCCTGCATTTAATGATTTGTTTTTCCCTAATCCTCTGTTTTCCCCTACCTCTGCCTTATGTCAGCGGTTTACAGTTCATGTATTGCCAGTCTATATTTAAGCCATTGACTCCGATGCCAGTTAGTCATTGACCACGTGCATATACCTTATAAGCACCTATAACAGTTTTACTAGCAGCTGTGCAGGACAAAGGCTCCATAGGTTTGATCCGGCACCCTGAGAGTGCCAAAACATTAACCCTTGTTACCTTGCTTAGCCCGATCCTATGGGGATTTTACCAAGCAAGTACTGTGACATAGTATTGTACAAATCAAAAGTCAGCCTTATCTGCTACTCATGCCTAGCCTGTATCCTATGTGCACAGTACATTTATATGCCTTACTGCATTTATCCGGCCTCCTGCCAAAGCATAGCATGTTTCCCTTACTAAAAACTAGACTATGTAGACGTTACCCAATCTTACATATAAGCTAAACCTAGCATGTATTAATCTACTCTACTTTTACTAGCCTAGATCCAACATACCATAACAATAGGGATAAAATAAAAAAGCTGTATATTACTTATGTTGACTTACCTATTGTTTGCTTTACTGCACTATATGATATAGCTTGTTGTTACTAATTAGACTAGCTTGTTTATTTTAAAAAATGAGACAGATCTGCCAGTAGCATACTGTTCAACTGTTTGATTAACATCTTGACTTTTGCGCCAACTCCTTTATTTTTTGTTCACATTCTGTACCGCATAACTCAATGTCTCAATAAAATAAAGAATTATAATAAAAAGAGGGCATTTAAGAAAGGAATGTCCTAGCCGTCCAGGAAAACTCCAGCACCTAAGGCCTAGTCAGGGGTCGGCCTTGGGTGTTATGACATTATCACCTTCTAATTTAACAACTAGACTAACTAGACCAGTCATACTTTATGTTAATGGTACCACCCCATTACCACTGATGCCCTGATCGATTCAGGTGCAGCGGACAATTTAATAGACCAGGAATTTGCCAACTCCGCTGCCTTGTCTCTGATCCAAAAGACTACACCCTTGGCCATTAAGGCCATAGATGGTAGACCAATAGACAAACCTCTTGTCACATATGAAACCCAGTAATTGTGTATGTCTGTGGGGTTGGTGCACAAAGAAAAATAAACGTTTCAGATATTGCATTCCCCTGCTTGTCCCATCGTTCTAGGTTTCACCTGGTTGGTGAAACACAACCCTGCTATTGATTGGGTAAATTCAGATATATTATCCTGGGGGAAGGAATGTTATTCTAATTGTCTTGAACAGGTACGTCCTATTTGCACATTGAATTTACCTACTGCTTCTCCTTTATCAACTTCTATACCTATGCAATATGCTGATCATGCTGAAGTAATTGAAAAAAAGGAGTCTGATAAGCACCTCCTCATCGCACATATGATGTGCCATAGACTTGTTGTCTGGTACTATGCAACCCACTGTCGGAAAAAGAGAATAGAATCATAGAGAAATACATACAGAAATCCTTAAAGAAAGGATTCATTAGGAGATCGTCATTCCCTGCAGGTGCAGGATTCGTCTTCGACTCTAATAAAGAGGGTGATTTGAGACCCTGTATTGATTGCAGGGGTCTTAATAGGATCACTGTCCATAATGCTTACCCCATTCCACTCATAACCGAGTTATTTGATCATGTCAAGGGGTCTAAGTATTTCACAAAACTTGATCTCAGGGGTGCATATAATCTAGTGAGGATAAGACATGGGGATGAATGGAAAATGGCTTTCAACACACACAGCGGGCATTATGAATACTTGGTGATGCCTTTTGGGTTATGCAATGCCCCTGCAGTCTTTCAAGATCTGATAAATAATGTTCTACATGATGTCTTAGCCTTATGTGCTGTTGTCTACTTATATGACATCCTCATTCATTCATCAGATCTCAAAGCACATAATCAACATGTTAGGATGTTGTTGCACATGCTACTTCAACACGAATTGTACTGTAAACTAGAGAAATGTCTCTTTGATCAGACTACAGTGCAGTTTCTCAGTTATGTCATCTCTGAAAAAGGATTCAGTATGGATCCTTCTAAATTAGAAGCCATTACGTTTTGGCCATGTCCTCAAGGACTTAAGGCTATCCAAAGATTTATTGGGTTCTCAAATTATTATAGGAAATTTATAAAGAATTTCTTGTCTATAATAAGTCCCATAACTAAGATGACTAAGAAAGGAGCTAATCCCCGTGTTTGGGACCCAGAGGCTCTTAGTGCCTTCAATACCCTGAAGAAAGCGTTTTCCAATGCCCCAGTATTACTCTATCTTGATCCATCATTGCCCTTCATCTTAGAGGTATACGTGTCTGAATCTGGCGACTCAGAGAAAGACCCCTAAAGAACCTCTTCACCCTTGTTGTTTCTTTTCCAAGAAACTGTCGGATTCTGAAAAGAATTACGATATAGGGAAAAGGGAACTTCTGGCTATAGTGTTAGCATTCAAAGAATGGAGACACTTATTAGAAGGTTCTAAATACCTTATATTGGTAATAACTGATCACAAAAATCTCTAGTATATCGCTGAAGCTAAATGTTTATCCTCGAGACAAGCTAGATGGTCCTTATTCTTATCTCATTTTCAGTACTCCATTACTTATAGACCTGGCTATCGTAATGTTAAGGCAGATGCCATCTCTAGGCAATACGAACCATTAGAGATAACACCCACTGTAACGGAGCTCCTTGTACTCCGACTGAGTACCCTCCGTTGATGGATGCTCCTAGCGCTTCCTGAGGACTCCAAGCACTGCAGCAGACACCACAACCACCGCAGACTCCGCAACCGCCGTTTCTTGACTGGAGTCTCGCCGTCTTCCTTCCACCCTGGATCAGCTTCTGTCCTCCAGGACTGTGCCTTCCACCCTGTATGAACCTCCAACATCCAAGACTGTGTGGTGAAGACCCCTCCTCCAAGGAGAGCGTGTCAGGAACAAGCTCTTAAAAGAGCTAAATGACTCGAGCTCAGGAGAGCATGCAGAGCATAGCAATCCCCAGTGTGATTATAACAGCTCCCTCCAATAACGAGACAAGGCTACGTTTAGAGGGATCAAGAAGAACTGTCAAAACCTTTATTTCCCTTGGGACCAGCCAATAGGGTCACCACAATAACATTGTTGTGAAACCTCAATAAAATCACAAACAGTCAA